TCAATCTAGAAAACTCATGAAAATTGAAGCAAATCACAAATTATCCATAAATAACATGTTTAATTGAAAGCTTCTTTCTTTCAATTAAGTTTCTTTAGTCTCCACTCCATAACATCAACTTCATTCTACACAATTAAAATGAAAAAATTAGACATGTCTCCACAAACATAAATAAGAATAGTTGTTTAGAATATTAAATATACCGAAAAAATTAATTATATGAGTGGACGGGTACCCACGGGCCGGGTTTACCTAAACCCAAACCCAACCCAACCCGATGAATAGTGAACGGATTTAAACCCAAACCCGGCCCAAAACCCGTCAACATGGATTTTACCCGCGTTGACCGGGTTGGGTCGGGTGGGTACCCGTGGGTACGGGTTTTGTTGCCATCCCTAGTTTATGCCACGTTTGGACTTTGGTCACTGAGAGGGTTAATTGCATGGTTGGTCACTGAGATTATAAAAAACGTTCATGTTTGGTCACTATAAATATTTAAATTCAACCTTGGTCACTCAAATTAGTTAAATGGTTCAAGTTTGGTCACTCTCCGTCCAACTCTGTTAAATTTGTCTGATGTGGCAATCAACCCTCAAAGTTGACCGTTAACTCAGTGACGTGGCAATTAACAAATAATAAATAAAATAAATTTTAATCTTCTACCATTTCCAACTTATTTTTACATTAAAGTAAAATAAATAAATAAATAATATTTTAATTACAAATTGAAAAGGGCAGAGTCCCGTTCATCTGATTATTGAAGAGCTTGAGCTCGTACAAGTTGGGGGAGCTGGCTATACTCTCGGGCAGGCTCCCTTGAATCCGATTCTCGAACAAATTGAGCGACTCGAGGTCCAGCCCACAGAGCTCGTCGGGAATGGTCCCGGTCAAGTCGTTCATGGATGGAGGCGTCGAAACGCCTCAAGGTCGTGAGATTGGCGAAGCCCTGGGGCAGAGCGCCGGTGAGAGAGTTGTTGTAGAGCCGGAGCACGGAACAGCCTTATCTACGACGGCGACGGAGAGATCGGAGCTAGTCAAGAGTTGCCGAGCGATCGTCAACCCGATGATTCCGGCGCCTATAACGACGACGTCGAAGGTGTGGAAAGAAGCAGAGGCGGCGGGGCTGAATCGGAGAGCCCGGCCGCGACATCGATGTGTCGCCGGTGAGCAGGAAAGCGATTTGGCGGGGAGTTTGGAGCCGAAGAAGGCGGATTCTGTGTTATAGCCGTTGGGGAAGGCAAGTGAACCGCGGCGGGAGCGTGGAAGAGAAGCGACATCGCGGTATTGGGGAGAAGAACAAGTCCACGAACGGGGGAGCGATAGCGCCGAAGAAGCCATTTTTGTTTGGGAGGGAAATGGGATAGTGCGTTTGAAAAATGAACAGATGGCAGCGGAGCGGTTTTAGCTTTGGGACTGTGGGAAGAAGAACGACTGTGGGAGGAGACCAGAGAAGTGCTGGTTGAGTTAACACTTAACAGTCAGATGAATGAAAGTGATTGACACTCAGTTGTTTAAGAATAAAATTAAAATTCAATAATCTGAAAGTGATTACCTGCGCCGGTAGCACCGGAGCACGGAACAGCCTTATCTACGACGGCGACGGAGAGATCGGAGCTTGTCAAGAGCTGTCGAGCGATCGTCAATCCGATGATTCTGGCGCCTATAACGACGACGTCGAAGGTGTGGAAAGAAGCAGAGGCGGCGGGGCTGAATCGGAGAGCCCCTTTTCAATTTGTAATTATAATATTTATTTATTTATTTTACTTTAGTATGAAAATGAGTTGGAAATGGTAGAAGATTATAATTTATTTTATTTATTATTTTGTAATTGCCACGTCACTGAGTTAACAGTCAATTTTGAGGGTTGACTGCCACATCAGATAAATTTAACGGAGTTAGACGGAGATTGACCAAACTTGAACCATTTAACTAATCTGAGTGACCAAGATTGGATTTAAATATTTACAGTGACCAAATATGAACGTTTTTTGTAATCTCAGTGACCAACCATGCAATTAACCCGTCACTGAGATTACTAAATTGAGTCATATTTAGTCATTAGAAAAATTTAATATCAATTTTTGTTACTTAAATTACAGGTCACATTTAGTCACTCTCTAGTTAGTTTCCGTCCAACTCCATTTTGGTCACTTGAATTACTGAAACATGTCACATTTAGTCACAGAAGAGCGGTTCTCACTCAAACCGCACTGCAAAGGGGTGGTTTCTCATGGAACCGATGTTGAGGCAGCAGTTTCTTTTATTTGGGAAAAATGTTATTGGTGGAAGCGGTTCCCATGGCTTAGCACAAACCGTATGCTTGGGATGCGGTTCTGCGTCGGCAACAAAAACCACCCCTCAAGCAAACGGTTTATCAGGTCGATGCACAAATCACACTCCCCCTAGCGGTTTGTGCTTCGTCCCCATTCTCCATGACATCCGACATGTCGGCATACATGAGGTTGCAGAGGTGGGGGTTGCATGCCAGATTAAAAACGCTCTCCCTGCGGTTTTTTCAGTGTCCCATCTCCCTTGGGTAAATGGGCTCTTGATTTATAACTGCCGACTGAGACAGGTTTGCGGATAGAATACAACTAAATAATCAGACCCATTGGGCTACTTGTTATAGTTGGTACCCAGATTTGGCTAGGGTGCTAATAGTTTTTTTTAGCACCATGCTAACATATCCTGCAGTCAATAGGGTATCTTCATTGGAAAAAATCCAAAACTATCACTGTGTTTTTTTTTTTACAAAACTAACACCCAAATCGAAAAAATTCCAAATCTACCACCCTTAATTAAAAACCGCACCACGAAGGAGCAGTTCTCACTCAAACTGCACTACAAAGGGGCGGTTTCTCATGGAACCGCATGCTGACGCATCATTTTCTTTTATTTGGGAAAAACACTATTGGAGAAAGCGGTTCTCGTGGTTGCCCTAGCACAAACCGCATGCTCGGGGTGCGGTTCTGCTTCGGCAACAAAAACCGCCCCTCAAGCAAACGGTTTATCAGGTCGATGCACAAACCGCACACCCCCAGCGGTTTGTGCCTCATCCCCATTTCCCCCCACATCCAACATGTCGGCATGTAGGAGGTTGCAGGGGTGGGGGCTGCATGCCAGACTAAACCGCTCCCCCTGTGGTTTTCAGTGTCAATTTTGACTATAACAGATAGCCCCGGAAAACTCAAATCTTCACTCCTTTCCTTCTTCTTCAAATTTCAATTGTGCACTTTTCATTTTTTGAGTTTTTGCGATTAACGTTAATTCGTAAGTTTGTTTTGTATTAATTTTCATTGTGATTTGTGATTTTTATGGTAATAACTTAATCACGATTGTATTGCAGATGGCATTCCAAAAGTTCACGCTTGCATTATGTTGGAATGGTTACACGATAGAGACAGGAAAGGGGGTACGTTACGTCGGTGACAATTTTTATAAAATGAAGGTCGTTACGAGACCGATGCTTGAAGAGCTCCATCAAATGTGTACTAAGGTTACCTGCATGGATGACACGAGAAGAGTTGATCGGATCGTATGGAATGAGGAATTTCTCATTACCACTCAGGAGGACGTTAATGTCATGGTCCAATTTTTGACCACCAATAACATTAAACAAGTGGAGATGTTCGTTTACACCAAGGCGGTCGAAGGCAGTGTAGGTCATTTTGGTGATGGCCAAACATTTGGCATCCACGATGGGGGTGGATTATACGAAGATCATCCCCATCAGAAGTATCAAGACCCTCATTCATACAATGAGTATCATGATGGAACTGGAGGTCATCATCAATCTTTCCCATCATATGAAGAAGAAGCCCAACAGTACCATGACAGCCAACAAGAAGGCTACCAATACCAATCCAAGTATAACTTCTACCAAGGCGGCGGTAGTTACCACAACTACCATTACAGAGCCGATGAAGGTGCCTTTCATGATCTTGATCTGATGAAAGATGCCCACCCAAATCCAGTTAGTGACCCTCAGGATGAAGAAGAGGAAGGCGATGTCAGTGCAGACAGCTTCGATCCTCTTGAAGGTGTTGATGATTCTGGGCTAGATTCAGACGCAGACGGTGATGAGGTGCCTCGTGACCGTGTACCCATCCCGTACTATAATCACATTCCAAATGAAGATTGGTATGTTGATGCCGACATGGAGGCTCCAGAGGTGCCAGTATGGGGTCCACTCACTGACTTTACTAAGGGCCAATAATTTTCCAAGAAGAATGAGGTGCGGAACGCTATTACCACTGAAGCAATCACTCTGAGTTTTGAATGGCACACAACCCATTCCGACAAGAGGCTCATGGTTAGATGCCAAAATCAACACGAGGGATGCAATGCTAGGGTCCGGGCCATCAAGAGCAAGAGAGTAGGTCATTGGGTCATATCTCGTGCGGTGAACACTCACACATGTGTGTCATCCATAACACCCAAGGCCATCGACAGTTGAAATCTAGGGTGGTTGCCGCGGCTATCAAACATCTAATTGAGAAGCAGCCCGACTTGAAGGTTAAAACCATCATCGCCGACATTTCTAATCATTATGGATATATTATTAACCACAAGAATGTGTGGCATGGAAAGCAGAAAGCAATGGATGCCGTGTTTGGTGACTGGGAAGAATCATATGCATTCCTTTTCAGATTGGTTTTGGAATTGGAGGGGTCTAACCCCCCCCCCCCCCCCCCCCGCGCGCTACCAAGATGAAGAAATTCAACGACCGGAGCCCAGTAACAAATGCTATTTCAAGCGTCTTTTATGTTCATTCAAGCCATCTATTGATGGTTTTCCATTATGTGTTCCTGTGATTCAAGTGTATGGAACATTCCTTACCGGCAAGTACAAGGGTACTCTACTGATCGTCAGCGGAGCATATGCAAATAGATGCATCTTTCCATTAGCCTTTGCCATTGTTGAGGGAGAGAATACCGACGGCTATGGATGGTTCTTCAGACAAATTCAACTCCACGTCACCAGGCGGACGAACCTAACAATCATCTCTGAGGGAGAAAACGGCGGGAGCGATAAATATGAGCTAGGCAAGCAGATGCCCAGCTCAGGTTCCCCATATCATCCCAATCACCAAAGATGATCTTCAACCATGAATTGCTTATTAAATTGTTGGATTTTTTTTGGAAGAAAACTCCTCCGATCATGCCGAGGATGTAGACACGTGCATAAATGTCTTTATCACGCTCTGAACTTTCCTCCGTGAGGGGAAGACCTCCTACATCAGCGTTGTGCTTACGCCTGATCTCCGCTATCAACCAAGTGATGGATACTTGTCCCTTGGACAATGGTGGATGACTCTCCGCATCATGGTCTCCCTTTTCTGGAGGTACCAACCCCGTGGCGCTCCATATGAAATGCTGCCAACCACTCATATTGGCAACAACTTTAGGTGGTGGAGAAGAGTCCACACAAATAACATCGCCATCGATGGGCAAATCGGTTAGGATGACGATGTCCTTAAGTGTGATGGTGCACTCGCCTTCAAGAAAGTTGAAGCAATGTGTCTTCTTTCGCCATCTCTCCACCAATGTTGTGATGAGTTGGCGGTCGATCTTTATCCCATTAAAGTGCCTAATGAGATCCAATCTTGCCCTTCTTAGAAAGGACAAGATGACGTCGTTCCATGCGAGCACATTCATCGTACCCCTACATCGGACTATATGGTATGCATCCTAGCGAAGAATTTAACTTTCACTATAGGTTTATGATTTATACATATATAAATCTATTATAACAAATAATATCAATTAATAAAATCAAGGTTTTTTTCCAAGAAATATACATAATTTAAAAAACAAACATATTAAGCGTACTAAAATAATTAACTAAAATGAATACCATTTTCAAAATTTAAATAAAATTAATTTTGTACACATACACATAAAATCAAATATATTCTTTTGTACTTCGTATTGATTGTTTTGAATAATTTAAAGTAATACAAGTACACTCGTAAGACTCTTAGGAGAGGTATACATCTCCTTAGAAACACAGCTTTTTTGACAGAAAAAGGGAGGATTCGAGTATCGCTTAAAACCCGATTTTCCTAGAAAATGGAAGGATCATGATGATCGCTTAAGACCCCAGTTCCTTAGGCATGCATTTCTTTATAAAGAGTCTAATTAAGTGACACACTGAATTGATTTAAATTATTGACAATAATCAATATGATTAACAATTAACAAATTTATTTTACAAACCACTAAATTACGTTAACAAAATAAAAAATGACAAATGATGACAAATAATATGTACCTTTTGGTCGTTCCAAACATCCCTTGAACGATGATTATCTTGGCGTATAACACAGTCGGACCAATCGGTCCTTTATCAACATAATATCTTTGTTTGTAGATATCAACATCCTCCCCAACCTACAATAGCATAACAACAACATAAATCATTACAAGAACAACAAAATTTAGGTAAAATGAGTACGTACCGCTTGATAGTCATCATAGTAAATACCCTCTTCTTCGAAAAAATCGGCCATTTTTTCAGGAACCGGACAGAGATTGGGCAGGTTTTGAATGAAAAATCAAAGAAATTTTTTTTATTGCAAATTGGACTTAGCCGCAACCAACAAATCACTATTTCCAATGTTTTTGAGTACTTTAGGTACTAAGCATATAAGCGTCGCTGATTCTTTTATGAGATTGATGTTGATTCTTATGAAGAGATTGCAAGCATCTTTTGGGCTTATGAATGGATGCAGTATGATTATAGCTTCTTTGGTATACAATCAGTTTTGACACAACATATAGGACAAACATGAATTACTGCCCTCTACGTTCGTACCTATTTAACTTTGTATTTTTCCCCTCCTTGTTGTGGTACGATTTGAACCGTTCTAGGAGTTAAGGGATGAAAGCCACTATATGTTAATGTTGTTCAGTAATCTTTTATTATCTGTCCCAATTGTTATAGAATCTTGACTATAACTAGAAATTACGTACTAGGCAGTAGGGTAATGGAGGCTTGAAGTTAGGAAATGCATACCACGTGTTGATTATTTTTTGTGTCTGCTTCTTTCTTTTTTTGGAAACATTTTTTGTTGGATTCAACCACCACAGAGAGTTGGTGATATTTGGTGCTGCCCTCCTTTTTCATGAAACAACTGCTACATTTAATTGGCTGTTCCAGACGTTTTTGATATGTATGTCGGGGAAACGGTCAACATTTATATTCAATGACCAGACTGTTGCCATTGCTGCTGGAATTAGGAACATCATTCTAAAGGCATTCCTTGGGCTTTGTATGTTTCAAATAAAAATGAATGTGGTGAAACATCTTGACACTCATCGCATGGATATACTAATGGATCTTGTTCATGTGTCCTTTGGTGTGAATAGTGAACACGAGTTTGCATTTTGTTGTAATGTGATGCTGGAGAAGTACTATCTAGATGAAGGCAACAATGGACGAATTTGGTTGAATTCAATTTATGAGTTAGGAGGTAGTGGTCTTCTGCTTGGGTGAATAACCACTTCATATGTGGTATGAGAAGCTCGCAGTTGAGTGAGTCGATTAACAACAACCTGAGGAACTATTTACAACCTGACCACAATCTAGTTGAGTTCTTCACTTTCTTCAATCAAATGGTTGAAAGGAAAACATGCGACGAAGTTGAAAGTGATTGTGGGGTTGCTAATATGCTGCCAAAAGACTGTAAGTATTTTGTTTTTGTTGTTCATGATAGTTTTTCTGAAGAAGGTGCATTAGTTGGATTACTAGTTGCTTAAACATTTGAATGCAATCCAGAAGTATAATAAACCACACCATAAATACCATAATGCAAGCTGGAAGTTGTACAATACTATTTAGTAATGTTAGTGTAGAAGTAATAAACATTATGCATACCTGAAGTATTTATATAGATTACGAAAAATTCTTTTTTTTCTTCATTTCATGTTGCACCAGTTTCATGAATAGCCCGCTGGTTAAACAAGTATGGTTACTTTGCTTGTGAACAATGAAAAGATGGAATACAAGTGCTCATGTCAGACGTTTGAGAGTCGTGGACTCGTGGTTGGATTTATTGACATGTAATGAAGCCGATAGAGCCTTGTGATTTCAGTAATGGTCTTGTTCAGAGTATATGTATCATTGCTTCTTATATTCTGCCAAGATGGACGAGAGATGCAAAAAATGGAGGGGATTTCAGTTTCAACATGTCAAAAGGTGTTGAGATAGATACATATGTTGGGAGGTTTTAAGATCTTTGTCCTAGTATGGTCTTGCTTGCTACAGAAGTGTCCTATATATGATGATGAAGGAGAAGGTTGGAGAGATTAGGCGAAATGCTCTGTTAATGCTTTGTAATGTAGCAGATAATTTCACTCAATAAGGTTAGTATTTGCTATGTTTTTATCACTATTTTCTTTTTTTTTATTTAAGGTGATCGCAGCCCAGTAATGTATGATTTCATAGTAGTTTTTAGAAAGATGCTCACTAAAGGTAATCAATTTATTTATTAGCATGTGATGCTTTTTTGTTAAGTGTACTTGATCCTGTACTTTTCTCCTCCTTCCCACATATCCCAGTGTGTCTGCTTTTGTTAGTGTTGCTGCCTCATCTACAAATGACAAATATGCAAATGCTAAGGGATTCAAAGCTCGAAATGACAAATGGACCGAAGAAAAGGCCAAAGAGTCATATGGAGATAGGTTTGGAAAAGAGTAAAAGTAAAAACAATGGGGGAGAGTCTGATGCTAATCATTTGAAGAAGAAGAAGAAGGCGTAGTCATAGTTTTGTTTTTTTAACAAGAGTCTAGCTTCAGAAGTGTCTGAGTATGTAGGAGCCTTAGATAGATTGCACACCACAAACTATTAAATCAAGCCAATTAATTGTTTGAAGTGGCCATAATGTTCTTGAAGCAGGCCAGAAAACAAATTTAGTAGACCACAAGTGCTGCCTATTTGCTAAATCAAGTCCATTAATTTTGTGACGTGGACCACAAATCGTTGGTTTGTTACCACATTACATACATAATAATGTATTCTAGTATTTTCATATAGCAGGCCAGATAACAAATGAAGTAAACCATATGTGCTAACTAAGTGGTTACTTTTAGTTCTGGTGACTTTTTAATATCTTTTCACTAGGATCTTACACAAGAGATTCTCTATGATTACTATCTATCGTGTCATAAATCATCGCACCAATACACCTATAATCCTATTACTAGTACAAGTTAAAAATTGAAGGTTTAATAACAGCCAGTGGACGTAATTGGCAGGTGGCAACGACCTTCTACAAAACAAAAGGAATGAAAAAGGATAATTGTCGAAGTCATTTAATTTCAATTTACAAAAGTAACTGCCATATCGTATTGTTTATTTACTTATCATGTAGTCATCTTCCTTTCTTATCTAATAATCTTATTCTTCATCAACTATTCAACTTCCTCTTTCTTTCCACAACCAAAAACTTCAATGGCGCCGGACTCTGATAATGTTATGTTACATAATGTCTTGTCCCATGGAAACAAGTTCTGTCATGCGCAGGATCATCAGAATGCTTACCATGCATACAAGGAAGGGATCTACATTTTAATCGAGTATGAGTTCATTACTATGACTATGTTTCCTGCTGAGGTTCACGATTTGATTAAAAGTCTTATGTGGGAGTGGTTCTTTGACCATCATAAAATTGAATATTCTTGTTACTACCCCATTATTGTGAAGTTGTTTTACCAGAACCTTGAGAATGAGACTTCTCTTTCTACTGGTCCGTTCTAATCTTCTGAGGCTGTAATGAAAGAGGCCACAAACATGAGGATGTCCCCCACTAAGTGCATTTAGCAGTCTACAAGAGTGAGGTTGACTTGGATTTTGAAGAAAGAAGAAAATGTAAAAATGAGATTTGCTCTACCTCGGCCCCACCTACCACCCTATGATGATGCTTATTTATTTTAAATTATTAACTTAAAAAGTAACTTCCAACTTATCGTTTTTATTTATTAGTGACTCAACCCACTCCCATCTTTCATTTTCGTATTTTCAACTTCCTTCTTCTTTTCTCATCTTCTTTGTTAACTATCAAGTTTCTCTCCTCTCCATCAAACTCCCAAAAAAAAAAAACTACAATGGCTGATTTTTTTATGATTTTGAGTCTACTATCCATCACGTTTACACCTTTACAAACAAGTAGGGGAATACTCTCGGAGATCAGTTTGTTTTTTCGTTATTATTCGTCAGACCATCCCATTACTGACAAGTATGATTTCATTTCTCGATCTCTGTTCCCTTCTAATGTACGTGAACTGGTGATAAAGGATTTCTTTAAGAAATGCAAAGCTAGTTCCTGTCATTTTTGCCCCTATGATGTTCATTTGTTTTATACCAACCTTGTGAAAGACATTTATATTGCTTCTGGTAGTACCTTTTATGTTTATGAGTTTCTTGGTGACAAAATTTGTTTTGATTCCTCCATATTTCCTAAGAAGATAAAGCTTTGTTGTCAAGGTGTTCTTTGGAGGGATGAAGAAGATTATCAGCATTGTCAGTCAGACCTCCAGGCTCTTATCGGAGGGGAAACAAATATATCCTTTCCGCGTCATCCCCTTGAGTGATTCACTAGCTGGTTACTCATGTTTTCCTCCCTCGCATTAATCATCATTCTGCTGCCTCTGGACAT